TGCTACCCTGGGGCTTGACACACCCTGAGGCCTGAGAAGAATCAATTCCTCTCCACAGCAGCTGAAGCCACTCCAGCAGGGAACGGGGAAGAGAAGCCACACCCTGAGTGGGTAGGAGCTAAAGAAGAACCCTCTGGAAGGGAGCCTCCATCCCAGGGTTTCAACCCTCTTGCTGCAGCTCCCCCTTCCCAGACCCCTGCAGCCAATGCTCCTGTGATGCGCTGGCAGTTACAGGTTAAATCAGAACTCTCCTGAGAAGTGCGGCATAAATTTTATTTTGGATTTAAAATAATCAAATGAGAGTGAAGCATCATAGATGTAAAATAGTGTTTTTAAATTAAAATGGTACTTTTAATTTAATCATATAAAAAAATCATTTAGATGCTGTCCATCTAAGTGGCAGAGAAATTGCTGTATTGTCCTACTGACGGTCTCTGAATTTGCTGCTAAATGATTTCCAGCTCCTGAAATATTTTCCCTTCCGTTCAATAAGCACTGCCTTTAGCACTCTTTAAAATCAACTTAGGAACTCACCTCCAATGAAAATCTCTTCATGGGGATACTAATTTATGTATCTTTTGTTCATTTGTTTACACATGGTTTTTGGTGATAAAAAGAACGAGGATCTGAGTCCACAGCCTGCTTTCTGGTTTCCAGATCTGCAAATCAGCTAACTTTGAGGCTCCATTTCCTTATCCATAAAATTGGGGCATTAACTAAAAGGCCTTCCCAATCCATAACTGTTAAAGTGTTCTTTGGGGGATTATGAATCTCCCAAGAATAGGACTTACATCTCCAACATCTTCACTAAGTAGCCCCTACTCCAAGTGCTGGCACTGGGCACTTCCCAGGTGGCTCCCTGGACCAGGCTGACTGCATACCCACCTAATTGATAGCACCTGGGTCAGCCAGGGGCCAGCACTTCAGATTTTCTACAATAAAACAAATACAAGATGAGAAATCTCTCCAGCTTCTGCTTTATTGACCCAAGTAGAAGGTCTTGGAATCAAAACAACCAGGGAACCATATATTTTTTATTTCTATGTAATAAAATTGACATTGGGGTCTCAAGACATGAATAGGTTTATATAGCCCCTGCCAAAATCAGTGTACACAGTAGTTCCATCACCCTAAAAAAACTCCCTTGTTTCAGACTTCTCCAACCCCAGCCTTTGGCAACTGTTAATCCCTTGTCCATCCTTATAATTTTGTATTCAAGAGAATGTCACATAAATGGAGTCATATAATAGGTTACTTTTTGAGACTGGCTGCTCTCACTCAATGTAATACCTCTGAGATTCTGGATTCTGGATTCTGAGATTTGTGTGTTGCATATTGATTTTTAGCATTCATTTGTTCCTTTTTATTGCCAAGTAGCATTCCATAGTATAGATGTATCACAGCTCATTCATCCATTCTTGATGGATCTTCAGGTTGCTTCCATTTGGGGGCAGTTATAATTAGCACTGCTATAAACAGCCATGTGCAAGGTTTTGTGTGAACCTAAGTTTTTTTTCCTAATAGTTATACATGACAGCAGAATGAATGCATTTTGATTCATTGTACACAAATGGAGCACAACTTTTCATTTCTCTGTCGCACCACACATGCAACATGTACTTAGGATAATGATGTCCATCTCATTCCACTATCTTTCCTGCAGCTATACTCTCTCCCCATCCATCCCTCCCCTTTGCCCAATCAAACTTCCTCCATACTCCCCATACCCCCAAGCCCACTATGGATCAGCATCCACTCATCAGAGAGAACATTCGGCCTTTGGTTTTTTGGGATTGGCTTACTTTGGTTAGCATGATATTTTTCAACTTTATCCCTTTACCTGCAAATGCTATAATTTTAGTCTCTTTTAATGCTGAATAATATTCCATTGTGTGAACATACCACAGTTTCTTTATCCATTCATCTGTTGAAGGGTGTGTGAACTTAAATTTTTATTTCCCTCAGAGGGACACTAAAAATGTCACTTCTTGGGTCCACCACCAAACTCTATTCACAGTGGCTGTGCCATTTTACATTCCCCCAACAGTGTGTGTGAGTTCCAATTGTTCTGTGTCCACACTAGCTCTTGATTTTGTCCCTTGTTGTGGTGGTGGTCTGTCTTGATTCCATCATAGCCATTCTGACAGGGTTATGACGTTATGTCATCAGAGATTCAACTTGCACTTCCTAAATGGCTAGCCATCTGAGCATCTTTTCCTGTGCCTTTTCAGGCAAAGTAATTTCAAATCTTTCCCCCATTTTTAAATTGAATTTTTTACTTTCTTATGGCTTTAAGAGTTCTTTTTATACTCTGGATGTAGATTCTTTGTCAGATACAGCTTTACATGTGTTCTCTCTCAGTCCCTGGTTAGTCTTGCCTACCAGTGTCTTTCTTAGAGCAAACATTTTAAGTTTGATCAAGTTCAGTTAATCAATTTTTTTCTTATGGATTGTGTATTTTTAACATCATTTCTGAGAATTTTTTACCTACCCTGAGATTTAAAAGATTCTCTAGCATGTTTTCTTCTGAAAGTTTTATAGTTTTACATTTTATATTTAGACTCGTGGTCCATTTCAAGTTGATATTTTTAAGAAGTGTGATTTAGGGAGACATTTATTTCTGTTGGAATGTGAACATTCTCATGTCCTAAGTCACCCAAATGTCCAAAGTATCTTTTCTCCACTGATTTGCCTTCACACTTGGTGGAAGGTACATGTGCAGGTCCATTTCTGATCTGTTTTTCTTCCTTTGCCAACTACATCATCTTGATTACTGTAGCTTTATCATTATTATTAAAATCAGCTGCTCTGAGTCTTCCAACCTTATTCTTCTCTTTCAAAATCGCTGGCTCTATTCGAGTTTCTTTGCCTTTCCATACACATTTTAGAATTTGTTTACTGATAATCTGCCCAAAAATCTGGTTAAGATTGTATTGTAACTGTAGATCAGATGGTGGTACACACTATGATCCCAGCTACTTGGGAGGCTGAGGCAGAAAAATCCCAAGCTCTACGCAAGTGTTGGCAACTTTTCAAGACCCTGGGTCAAAATAAAGAAATAAAAATGGCTGGGATGAAGGCTGGCACAGTGGCACATGCCTGTAATCCCAGCGGCTTGGGAGGCTGAGGCAGGAGGATCACAAATTCAAAGCCAGCCTTAGCAAAAGCAAGGCACTAAGCAACTCAGTGAGAACCTATTTCTAAATAAAATACAAAATAGGGCTGGGGATGTGGCTCAGTGGTCCTGTGCCCCTGAGTTCAATCCCTCAAAAAAGAGGGAGGGACTGGGGATGTAGCTCAGAGGTAGAGCACCCAGGGTTCAATTCCCAATATAGGAAAACAAAAAATTCAATCGATCAATTTGGGGAAAATTGGTGTCTTAACGATATTGAGTTTTCTAATTGATAAAATCATTCTCTCCATTTATTTAAATTTTTGTAAACTGCTTTAATCAGCATTTTAATTTGACTTCTTCAACATTTTGTAGGGTTTTTCTTCTCCACATTTTTTATTGATGCATTGTAGTTGTATTTTTAATATATAGTCCAACACACATTGTGCTAGATTTGTATCTTAAGTATTTTTAAAAAAAATTTTTTTAGTTATACATGGACACAATATCTTTATTTATTTTTATGTGTGCTGAGGATCGAACCCAGTGCCTCCCACATACGAGGCAAGTGCTCTACCACTGAGCTATAGCCCCAGACCAGTATTTTTGTTTCTAAAGTTGTGGGTGGTTTTATTTTTAAATTCCCTTTTCCAGTGGTTCTTTGCAGTATATAGAAATATTTTTTTGTATGTTGGCCTTATACCCTTTGACCATACTGAACTTGCTCATTAGTTCTGGGAACTATTTTATAGCTTCCTTGGGATTTTCTGTCTCAGTGACCACACAGTCTGAAAATAGACTTTTGTTTCTTTTCAGTGTGTGCTGGGTAGTTTTTTGACTCTGGCCTTGTGCACTGGCTAGAGCCAACAACGTGATGCTGTGGAGCAGCAGAGAGTGGAAATCCCAGCATTGTTCCTGGTCTTAGGGGGAAAGCATTCAGTCTTCCTCCACTAAGATAGCTGTGGCATTTTGATAGAAATCATTTATCAGGTTAAGTTTTCTCATCCTGATTTGCTGAGAAATTTTTATCATAGGTAGATCATGAATTTTGTCAAGCTTTTTTACACGTTGTTGGATTCAATTTGCTAATATTTTATTGCCTATTTTTACATCCATGTTGCTGAAGCATATCGGTTTATACTTTTTTTGCACTCTCTGTATCTATATTGGGGATCAGAACAATAATAGCTTTTTAAATAAATTAGAAGTGTTCCCTTCTCTTTCTCGAAGAGATGTGACAATTTGTTATTTCTTCTTTAAATGCTTGGTAGAATTCACTGGTGAAATCATCTTGGCCTGCAGTTTTCTTTTTTAAAGGTTGATAGCTATAAATTTAATTTCTTAAACGGAGAACTATTTAGGAGAATTCTTCTTGGGGGCATTTTGGTAGTTTGTAGATTTCAAGGAATTTTATTGTTGTATCTAAGTTGTTGAATAAATTGTGGTACATAGAGCTGTTCAGAAGATTCCCTTATCATCTACTTAATATCCACATATGTAGCAGTAGCTTCTCTTCTATTCCTGATGCTAGTGACAAGGTCTCTCCATTTTTTCTTTTGGGCTAGAGGTTTATCAATTTTGTTGATCTTCGGAAAGAACCATCTTTTTATTTCACTTATTTTTTTTTCTGTCATTTTCTGCTTCCAGTTGCATTCATTTCTGCTCTTTATTGTTTCCATGCATCTGTTTATTTCACAAAACTTGATGAAGATTAAAGTCATCACCATGATTGAGCAAAACTCTTAGAATTTTCCTTCAGTACTGGAAATGGAATTCATACTAGGCTAGATCTTTACCACTGAGTTATCCCCTAACCCATAAAATATATTTTTAAAATTCATTAGTTTGAGAACCATCTTAGCAGTGGTCCTGTGTTGTCTCTTTTCAGTTGACTGGTCTGAGCGTCTCCAATGGAAAGGACCAACTTGTAGTGTTCCATACAAAAGATAACAAAGACCTCATTGTGTGCCTCTTCAGCAAGCAGCCCACCCATGAGAGTCGAATTGGAGAACTTGTTGGAGTCCTGGCGAATCATTTCAAGAGGTAAAGTTTTATTTTTGTAACTAAGACAGGTTTTAAATGTATGAAATCATAATTATCACTGAACTTGTTTCGAGCCAATTTTAATCTATTGAGTTATTTTCCTCCATAGTGACAATCCAATCATCTGTTTCATAGAAGGTAAAATTAGTAACCAGGCTTAGCTTCAGGATTAGGAATGATCCTCTGCTTTCCCAGTCTCTAGCTAAACCAACAATGAGAGGTTTCCCTAATGGGTATTTCTTCACAGTGAATTCAAATGTAATTAAATCCAAACAATAGGAAAAAATTACTTTGTATTCTTACCATCACAGCTCCTCATTTGCTTCCAATATAATCAGCGTATCTACTATTACTCTAAACAAATTAGAAGGCAGATTCAAGATAACATGTAGGTCTATGAAGACTAAAGAAATTCCCAGGAGAGTCAATAGCTGCTATAAAAACATGGATTCATGGTGGAATGTGGTACACTCTGAGAACTTCATAGAAAACCTAGTTGATATCTGGGTATATGTGTGTGTGGTGAACAATGATGTAAGAAATATAAACTAGGGGAGAGGAGGGGAGGGGGGATGGTGGAGGATGGGAAAGGCAGCGGAGCACAACAGACACTAGTATGGCAATATGTAAATCAATGGATGTGTAACTGATGTGATTCTGCAATCTGTGTATGGGGTGAAGGTGGGAGTTCATAACCCACTTGAATCAAAGTGTGGAATATGATATGTCAAGAAATTTGTAATGTTTTGAACAACCAACAATAAAAAATTTAAAAAAAAAAGAAATATAAACTGAGAGCAGACCCTGAGGGCAATGGGGACCCGCAAATGGATCATCTAACATGGGGGAGGGATTTTGTCTGGTTACTTATTGAAGTTGTTTTAGAGATGGAGTTTTTCTTCCCACAAGAGGTCATGGGATGAGCGGGTCTCTCCATAGTCGAACTTTCTTCTCACTGTGGCAACCATCCCCCATCCCATCTCGAAGCTAGGGGGGGAAAGACAACCAGTGATGATCCAAGTGATGATACTGGTTCCTTTTCCTTCTATAGACATTTCCCACATTCCCATAAATAATCAAGTACTACTTGTGCCAGTGTAGACTTGGCTTTGTCCCCTTCTTAAAGATATTTAGAGTCAGATGTCCACATGTCTAACTCTACTGCATTTTTTTCTTGCTGATAAATATATTGACTATAATTTTAGAGGCAGAATACCCAGGTCGTTTATTTTATGTTATTAAACCTTGTGTTCTAGATCAAAGTGGATCTTTAGATATTCCAAATTATTTGGAGTCCTTTGAAAAATGCTCTTTTAACTGCCAAATAATTATAAAACTGAGAGTTTATAATCTAGAATGGAAGGTAAAGACATAAAAGCATCTCTAAATAATTATCTGTGACTCCCATAAGCAGACTTATTTTCCTGATGACATTTAGTTATCACAAAGTATGGGCATTTAAAGGAATTATAGTTCATCATCTTGAATTTGGATGCTTGTAGTAACGGATACAATAGTTTTTGCCTGAAGAACTGAAGTATTTTGTCTCAATCTTAGTCCTTGTTTAGTGTCTCCTACTGACAGAAATAGAATTCACAGATTCACTTCCTTTTCGTAGCATATGTGCTCTGAGATTTATTTCTAGGTGCATGCTTCCTATCTTTAATATATACAAGAGTTTTAATTTCTTTAAAATTCATAAATGTATGGAGGCAAAGAAGGCCGTCAAGATACTGGGTATTTTTGTTTACTCTTTTTGTTTTTATCTTATGCATTAAGAGCATGAGTAGTAATGAGACATAAAATCTGTCCTGACTGACCCCAGAAAAGTCAAGCTTGGGGGCTGGGGCTGGGGCTTACTGGTAGAGCACTTGCCTAGCATGTGTGAGGCACAGGGTTCGATTCTCAGCACCACATAAAAATAAATAAATAAAAATAAAGGTTCATTCACAACTATATATATATATATATATATATATATATATATATATATATACATGTTTATATGTTTAAATAAGGAAAAATATCAGGCTTGAAATTTGGGCTTAGAATTATAATGATCAAGCTATTATTAACTTCATTTTTTTTCTATTTTCCTTTATTGTCTGTCTCATATCATTGGTATGATTTTGAAGTTCACGTTGTAGTTTTTTTGTATTGTTGTTGTTGTTCCTGGTTTTGGATTAGGGATTGAACCCAGGGACCCTTTTATACTGAGCCACATCCCTTTTTATTTTTTATTTTGAGACAGGGTCTTGCTAAGTTGCTGAAGCTGGCCTTGAATTTGCAATCATCCTGCATTGCTGGGGTTTTAGGCGTGTGCCACCACTCCCAGCCACATTGTGTTTTACAAGCATAATTATGTGGCATATGATCTTACTTGTCCCTGGGATGACTATGGAATTCTACAGGGGAGAGGGATTTAACTCCAGGCCAATTATTTATCTTTAGATCATTTCTCTAATCTGCATTCTAAGAAGTTTTCTAGGCAGAAGATGGGAGGAAATGGCTCAAAATTTCATAAATTAACAGAGGTTGATTTAAACAGGAGTCATTGTCTTTAAAAAATTATAAAGAGAGAGGATCAGAACTTGATCGGAGGCTGAGGTTGTGGCTCAGCCATAGAGCGCTTGCCTAGCATGTTCGAGGACTTGGGTTTGATCCTTAGCACCACATAAAAATAAGTAAAATAAAGGTATTGTGTCCAACTAAAAAATAAATATTTTTAAAAAAAAACTTAAAAATCCACTAGCAAAACTTCAGCAAAGTTTCAGAATTTTTCAAATTTTGAAAAAAGAGTATATCATTTCATTAGGCTAGTACAACACTGTACCCCAAACAAATAAGGGTAGCACAAGAAAACAAAATGATAGTCCAGTCCCACTTTAGTACAGATTTTTTTTAATACTAAATAAAATGCCAACAAATTGGATCCAAGAGTGTTTCAAAAGAACACATTATACGCACTGAGGTGGTCCTGAGAATGCAGGGTGGTGGGGTACATGGACAGCTCTGTAACCTATTCCCCAGATGAAAGGAGGAAAGAATTCCATCTCCCCAGTAGAAACACAAGTGCTACTTGATAAAAGGCAGTGCTGACTGCTGATAAATAAACACTCAAACAAAGTGGGTAAACACAGGAATGGGAACAAATAAAAGGCAAATTTGCAGCTGCCAACCAAAGTTAGTTGCACAGAAATGGTTCAGTGGCTACTACCCAGAGGGCCTGTGGCTTCAGGACTTCTCTCCTAAGTCATGTTGTCCCCAGTGAAGGGGAAGGATGTATGCAAGCCGAGGGAAGAAATGACGTTGGGCACAGGACAGTTTAGAAAGAGAATGTGAGGCCACAACCCAGTTGAAACTGCAGGACACCCCTAGCAGGACAGCCTTCTCTCTTCAAGGGCCACATTCAGCAAGGGGTTTCCCCCACTCAAAGTCAATGATAAACCAAAAGAGAAGAACAAGCGAGATATGCACAGGCAATATAAACATAAGGAACAAAGGAAGTCAGCAAAGGCAGATTTAAAAATGAGGAATAAATTTTACATTAAAAATGCTTGGAGGGGGCTGATTGTGGCTCAGTGGTAGAGCGCTCACCTAGCACGAATGAGGCCCTGGGTTTGATCCTCAGCACCACCTAAAAATAAATAAATAAAGTAAATGTATAATGACCAACTACAACTAAAAAATAAATATTTTTTTAAAATGGTTGGAGGGGGACAGGCCCTAGGTGGAGTGATAAGAACTAGACCTACCCTCTTGCCTTAAACAACAAAAAGTAGGCAAAATGTGTGAAGCAACCATTTTCAAGACATTGGGCATCAGAGAGCAAAGGATGTGTTCCCCAAGAGGTAAGAAACAGAGAAGCTGACCCCATGACCCTACCATGAGGGAATTGCCAGGCCATATGTTCGCAGGGAACCCAGGTGGAACCTGGCAGATCCCCCTGAGCCATGGAAGCTGAGAGGAGAGTCGGGGAGACCAAGACAGCTCAGTTTGCAGATCAAGGTGCCACAAACTCCAGGGGTCTGTGTAGGATCCCCTCAGGTATGCTGCAAAGTACTGATTAGTGCATGAGGAAGAGAAAACTCCCCAGGCCTGGGAATGAACCAGCTGAGAGGACCAAAGAGAGCCTAGCACTCACACTGAGCAGGAGCAGGCAAACAGAGCACCTCATAATTCACAGGGTGTTTGGGCGAGGGTTTTACCTCAGCAGAGGGAAATAATTGGCCCTAGAATAACTAATGCTGTGGTAGATACTGCCAAATAATTCTCAAAAGCAAGACCCAAAGGATCAAACTGCTTCCAACTAATTTATATCATGGAGCAAGATTCATGCATATTTAAAGGACTACAAAAATTTCCAAACTCAACACATAGAATTCACCTGAATGTCTGACATGCAATCTGAGATTAAGAAGCATGCAAATAGGTGGAAATCACAACCACTGTGAGGAGAAAAGCCATCCAATTGAAACCAGCCTAGAGCTGACAGGAACATTAGAATTAGCAGACGCCGACATTAAAAGTTATTACAATGTCAGATGTTTGTAAGTTAATTAGAGACATGGAAAGTATTTTTAAAAAACCACACATCAGACTTACAGATGAAAAATACACTGATATTTGTAATATTTCATGATTAAAAACAAGAAAGACAAAGCTTTTCACTTTATCCAGTAAATTTTCCTCATCACTATCTTCTCTCATGAGCTAAAGCCAGACCTTTCTTTCCATGTGAATCCTGAAACTAAATATGACTAAGTGTAAGTTAGGTTCTTTCTCTCACCTGCAGTCTGTGTTCAGCCTGTACCTATCATCCCTGTCTCCCCAAGCACCTACTCATACAATTTTCATCTTTCTTAAAACATATCGAAAGACTTTCTTTTTTCCTTGGTGCTGGGGATGGAACCCAGGGCCTTGTGCATGCTAAGCATGTGCTCTACCACTGAACTACACCTCCAGCCCTGAAAACCATCTTTAATAATCTTTGATAAGTA